TTTTGTAAGGTTATTTGAAAAAGCTTGAAACATTTATTACATGTGGTAATCAAACTGCTTAGCGCTCATTCATTCAATATACAAATAATGTGTTACAAAATAGGTTGTAAGCACTTACTTTTTATTTAAGACAGCTCGACAAGTTATCCTTTCTTCTTTAGTGCAGCAACAAAGTCGTGGAACAGAAGTATAAACTGCCGTGTACCTTGTATGTTTGACTTATAAAACGCGCCTTGGGGCTTTTACCAACGGTTGTCTACCACAAATATGCGAAAAATGCGCAGATAACAAGATTTACAGATATTGATTATTTGATCTCATTTCAGTCATTTGGATCTGGCACGCAAAGGTGCGAGAGCAACTGTGCGCGTAAAAGTCTCCTTTCACAAGGATCTTTCAAAATCATGGCATTTTTGGTATGATCATGGTAAAATCATGACAAGAGATTGTGTCAAGAACTTCCAAGATCAAGATAGATAAGATCTTGGCAAGATCATGCTGGGATCATGGTGAGATCTTGACAAGATCTTCCAAGACCATGGCAATATTATAATATAATCTTGGCAAGATTGTGATAAGATCTTAGCAAGGATCATGATGGGATCTTGAAAAGATCGTCCAAGATCATGGCAAGATTACAATAAGATCTTGGCAAGATTTTGGTAAGATATTGGCAAGATCATGCTGAGATCTTGGCAAGATCATGGTGAGATCTTGTCAAGATTTTTAAGACCATGCCAACATTATGGTAGGATCTTGGCAAGATTTTTGATAAGATCTTGGCAAGATCATGGTGGAATCTTGGCAAGATTGTCCAAGATCATGGCAAGATTATGATAGAATCTTGGCAAGATTGTGATAAGATCTTAGAAAGGATCATGGTAGGATCTTGGTAAGATCATGGTGGAGTCTTGCCAAGATCCTCCAAGATCATGGCAAGATTACAATAGGATCTTGACAAGATTTTGATATGATCTTGGTAAGATCATGGTGGAATCTTGCCAAGATTGTGCAAGATCATGGCAAGATTATGATAGAATCTTGGCAAGATTGTGCTACGATTTTAGCAAGGACCTTGGTGGGATCTTGGCAAGATCATCGTGGGATCTTGACAAGATCTTCCAAGATCATGGCAAGATCATGATAGGATATTGACAAGATTTTGACAAGATCTTGGCAAGATCATGGTGGAATCTTGGCAAGGTTGTCCAAGATCATGGCAAGATTATGATAGAATCTTGGCAAGATTGTGATAAGATCTTAGCAAGAATCATGGTGGAATCATGGCAAGATCATGGTGGGATCTTGACAAGATCTTCCAAGATCATGGCAAGATTACAATAGGATCTTGGCAAGATTTTGATATGATCTTGGTAAGATCATGGTGGAATCTTGCCAAGATTGTGCAAGATCATGGCAAGATTATGATAGATCTTGGCAAGGACCATGGTGGGATCTTGGCAAGATCATCGTAGGATCTTGACAAGATCTTCCAAGATCATGGCAAGATCATGATAGAGTATTGGCAATGTTGTGATATATGCGATTGGTTTGATCAAGGTTCATTATACCTATACTTATGAAGGTCGAAAAATACAACTCAGCAAGAATTATGTATGACGAAAAATCATGAAAGATCTTGGCAAGATCTTGACAAGAATTTCAGACAATCTTGGCAAGATTTTGGCAAGTATGGCAAGATTCAATAATCTTGGCAAGATATTGGTAATATCTTGGCAAGATCTTGCCAAGATTAGTGTCTTGCCAAGACCTTGCCATGATCTTCCAAAATCATGCAAGATCTTACAAGATCTTGCCAAGATCTTCAACCTGGGCTCAACCAGCACTGGATAATATTCCCAAGTCAATCAAACTATTCTCAACTCAATCAAATTATTCCAACTCATAAACAATACTTGTGCTCTTATGTAATGTGAATTGTTATTATAAGGCAATACATTCTTCCATCTTTGTTTCATCAGCATGCATCCAATCTGTATTGTTTCTTTTATATTTATTCCTCTCTTTAAATTTGTTTCTGATTGGTTAACCACTATATGGTTGTTATAACCACATCTCCACACTCATCACCATGTTTATTCGATGTTAGTGTTGTACAATCTGTAATGTTTCCATGAACTCAAGGTAACCTATAGTACAGCATTATAGAAATTTTATTCAGTATGTTCAATCATGTCATGTAAAAAAATTCAATATATTCTGCTACCAGAAAGTTCATCTGGAGATGCCTGATTTATGAATTACAAAACAATAATCATCCAATAACTCAATCCCAGTAGCATTTTGATAACAGCTCGCCATATAAAGATGAAATCAGTTTTATGAAATCAGAATTAAGCTATAGTACTGAGCCGAGGTGAAGTACTACAAAATTAATATATACATCAATACATGTCTCTAACAAGTTGAATTATAAACTCAGAGATCCCATCTTTTCTCAGACAGTAAATGAATAAAATTGGCCTAGCTTAAAAATTGTCACAAATTTACAGCGAATTAGAGATCCAGTCTCGACTGTGGAGAACGAAATAATCAAATGTATAAAACAAATATTTACCTTTATATGACAGTATAACTTCGACATGGCGAAGCGCTTGACTGAATTTCAAATAAACACACTTTAAAGGCATCCTTATTGGCGTAATATTCTTTCTTTCTTCTCATATTGTTTCAATGATTTGTTATTAATCGGATTTCACTTCATAAAAGTCACAAATCGTTGAAAATCTCTTCGAAACTGTGTATTCCCACTCCTTGTATCAACAAATATAGAATCGCGCGTATATTACGCAATCGAACTGGAAACCATGGAAACGAGAGATAAGTAGTCTACCAAAACAAAAGGAATCGCACATGCGCAGCACGGACTGTAACCCGTCTTTAAAGAAAATGGAAGCTTTTTGCTCGTTTAACACCGGATTAACCACGTGTCAGATGAGGCAAATGCCGCGGGCCTCGCGCTTTACTGTGCCACGCCCATTTTTACGAGAATACAGCCATTTTCTATTGGAACACACCCATTTCAGGTGCCTCGCGAATTTAGGTGCCTCGCGAATTTAGGGACCTCGCGCATTTAGAGCCCCCAGGCTTGGCAGTTGGCCCTAGCACAGCCCCGGGAAAATATACAATACTCGTGTTCATATAATCTCTAGTTGCGTTGAGCTGTTATATTATGATCCTGTTTATACATGTTGACCCAACAACTGGGCCTAAGCAGGCAATTGTTTCGTTTATATTTGATGCAAATAAATTAAAATATTGAAAAAAAATATTTTACACTTTTGTGTCTTTAAATTCAATGGTTTTCATAAAAGGGGGACGGGGGAGGTTTGGGGGCCTCGCGCTAAAATTTCCCACGGGCCTCGCGCGACGTTAATCTGGCCCTGGTCACTTGTCGGTAGTTCTTGTGGTTTTAATGCCAATTGATGTAAAGCTTTAATAATAATCCACCTTAAGTAAAAAATACATACATCCGTAAACATTATAAAACCATCTATCTTACAATAAAAATTTGTATTTTTAAAAAGGTTCAGTTGCCAAAGGCACAGACGACGATTATGTCCTTCAGTTCAAAGAATAATGCAACCTACATTCAGCCTAAAATTACAGAACCGTTTATTACAGTAGTAATTTAAAGTTTATTATTAAAAAGTTTAACTGCACGAGGCATAAACGATGATTTATGTTTACTACTTACTCCGGACAGATTATAAATTGCTTTGTACCATTTCGCAGGCTCAGATGTGCGGAATGCTTTAGCTTTATTTTGATAGTAATTTGATTTGGCTTTCCTAATCATATCTTCTACTTGTGCACTTCGCAGATTAATCTTTGCTTTAATGTTCGGAGTCATCCAAGGTTTATCCGTGGGATGTAGGCGTATGGATTTCAGAGGCATACATCCGTCTAGAGCTTGACTAATAACTCCATTGAAAATTGAGACTTTGTCATCGACGTCTTTGTCATTCTTGCTTCGTATACTGCATCCCAAACAGTTCTGCTTAGTCTTAGCTCAAGAGCCATTAAGTTTGAACGTTTCATCGATCGAAATGTTTTAGTTATTGGGCGTGTACTCGTCCGACGTTTTGGATTCTAAAGGAGGCATTGGTGATCCGATCGACCTTAGGGAGGAAGATGTTGCACTTCTTGAAACAGTGGCGACATATTAGTCATTATCTGACCTAAAGTATTGTTCTGGCGAGTTGGTTTCTTAACAATTTTTCTCAAATCAAAACAATTACATAATATTCCTAATTTCATTTTGTTAAAGTCTCCAGCGATTATAACCCCAGCAGAGGGATAGCTTTGTAGATTGAAGTCGATTCCATCATAAGATAATCAATCATAGTTATCTCATTTATAGCCGCTTGACCTGGGGGATAATAGACTGCAACCATAACAATGCAACTGAAATGTAGTGTTTACTATATTGTTGTAACATGAAGTATAAAGAAAGATTAGGAATCCAAGATGGCGTTTTAGTAAATATACGTGTTCAGTAAATTGTTTATGTTTAATCCAGTTTATCTGTTGTTTTATCCGGATACATACTACAAATAGCGACGAGGATTTACATCTAAATATATCGAGGACTTGTTTAAAAGGAATTTTGATAAATTAGTATCATGGAAACGAATCAAAATTCGGAAAATATTCAAGCAGGTGAATCGAGTGGAGCTGTTGTTTTAAATACGAATGCGAAAGTACTCGAAGTTGGTGGTTTTCCTTGCTTCGACCCCAAGGGAGATCCAAATACACTATCGATTCGCTGGAGAAGATGGAAACGCGCTTTCAACCTGTATATGGTGTCAAAAGGAGTTACAAATGAACAGCAAAAAGTTGCTTTGTTATTACACTCCGGAGGAATGGAATTACAAGAACTGTATTATACTTTAAAGCCAGATAGTGAAGATAAATATCTTCAGGAATGCTTGAACGCTTTAGATGCATATTTTACACCTAAAGTAAATGTGGTTTTTGAAAGGCATATGTTTCGACAAATGCAGCAAAAAGAGAATGAAACCATATCTATGTAGATCAGTTTGTTTGTTGACTTCGACAAAAGTCTATTTCATGCGAGTTTACCAATGTAGATGAAGCAATTCGTGATCAAATTATTGAAAAATGCAGAGATCCAAAGCTTCGTCGAACGTTTCTTGAAAAGACAGGTACAGTAACTTTATCTGTGCTTCAAGACACGGCTAGAGTTCACGAAACTGTAAACACACAAATGCAATCTATGGATAGATCAGGTACAAATCAAGTACAGGGAATATTCTAAGGTAATCGAAGGGGGAAAGGAAAGTATGGTGCCAAATCTGATGACCGTGCATCTGATAAAAAACATAAAGAGGGTAGGAAATGTTATCGATGCAATATGACAGGACACATCGGACGAGATAAAAGCTGTCCTGCAATAAGTAAAACATGTAAAAAGTGTGGATTGGTGGGTCATTTTGCAGTTTGTTGTCGTACTAAAGCCCCAAAGAAACCCTCAAATGGAAAACAACGTCAACATGGAGCTTATCAAGTAGAGGAAGAGAAACAGGAACCAGAAACGGACAATTATGCTTTTGTAGTTAAGCCTGCTCGTGAAAAGACAGGTGGAGTTGTTGAACTTGTCATTGGAGGTGTGGAGTTAAATAATGTCCTTTTCGATTCTGGAGCTTCCTGCAATATAATGGATCGAGCAACATGGGAAAACCTGAAACAAAAAGGTGTGAAGTGTGAATCTCAGAAAAGCGAAAAGAAATTGTTTGCATGTGGACAAACGGATTCAATTGAGGTTTTGGGAACATTCAAAAGCGATATTTTCTGTAAAGATTCAAGGGTAAGCTGTGTCGATGAGTTTACCGTAGTTCAAAGTCCAGGAAAAGTTTTACTTGGAAAGAATACAATTGGAAAGAATTAAATGTTCTTAGAGTGGGACCTCCACGTTCTCCACAAGTCTACTCGGTTGCATATGAAGGCAGTGATAAAGATATTATGAATGATTTTAAAGAAATTTTCTCAGGATTGGGAAAACTAAAGGATTTCCAGATGAAATTGCACATTAAAGATGATGTGAAACCAGTAGCACAACCAGTAAGAAGATTACCGTTTGGTCTCAGAGCAAAAGTGGACAAAAAGCTTAATGAGTTATTAGAAGAAGATATTATTGAAGAAGTACCAAGTGGCCCTACCGGTTGGATATCACCTCTTGTTGTCGTACCAAAACCAGATGGTGATATTCGTATTTGTGTCGATATGAGGCGAGCGAACGAAGCTATTGAAAGGGAGCGTCAT